GGGTTCTTTCCCCTCACCACTTTCTCGCCGACGGGGATCTGGAAGCACCCATGATGCATCAACACACACAGAAAGACGGCAGGCACATGGACTCAGTGCTCGTCTGGCCGGCGATTGGCGACTGGTGTTGTCTGACCTCCACTGGTGCTGACACCCACAGGGGGTAGAGGTCGGTGTCGGTCTTGAGGCTCAGCCCGTCCCTGACCTGCCAGTCCCCCAACGCAGGGATGGACCCCACCACCTTGACGCCCTCCTTCCACGTCGACTCGCACACCACCTGCGCACACACAGATGCATCGAGACGTGCCTGTGCCGCCCCAAGATCTTCCCCTCCCAGCCTCTCGTGCTCACCTCAAAGACGACTCTTCTCGTGTGCTGCCCATTGGCAGCTCTGAACCGGGGCGAGCCCACTTCAGATGAGGCGAGCGACGTGGGCGCGTAAGCCGCAGACACGTCTCGGTACACATACGACGATGGATCTCCGTAGCCGTAGCCGTAGGCGTCATTGTGGGACGGAGCCGATGAGAGAGCACTGCCACCGTAAGCTGGCGCCTGCCGTGCGTGGCTGAGGGTGATCGGCGAGGAGGGGGTGGGCGGATCTGGCTGGGTGGTGTCTGTGCCAATAGTGTCTGTGTGTTGGTTGGGAGACGAGGGAGGGACGATGGGAGGCTGGAAGAAGGTCAGGCCCTCAAGGCTGCTCGTCCACATGGCTCCGCGAATTAGGATGCTTAGGGCATTGCGTGAAACCGTCACTCGCCCGACGCGAGCTAAGATTTGCGAAACGATGCATTGCTCCACACAATGGCCACTGCGTGCAATACAGTCACGAGTTATGGCGATGGTGGACAGCAAAGCGGGCTTTGCGTGACTTGCATCACTCCTTGAGGCAACCTTGAGGCCAGCCTTGAGGTGGGCAGCGGACACGAGAGAATGAGAGGCCAGAAATCCCATACTCCCTGTGCCACGTGTGGCGATGCATGTAGAGCGCCGTGCTGATGGCTGCCGGTGCACAAGGCCAGCGGCGGCCTGATGCCACCGGGTACCGTCTGGAGGACGTTGACGTCATGTACGCCCCGGGCACCAGCGAGGCCACGAGAAGGCTGGGCGGCGGCATCATCTGTCGGGCCTTCGCTGACGAGCAGGAAGTGAAACAGCTGATTCAGCACGATGGGGCCGACGCGAAAAGTCTTCCAGGGCTGCGGGCGCGGGGCTGTTCACGTGGGATGGCGTATCGGCTGCTGTCGCTGGCTATCGATGATTTAAGCGGCATCGCCATGACGTCCCGCTGGGCGATTGACAACGAATGGCGTGCTCATCCAATCAGTCTTCCCCAATGGCCGTCCCGCCAGTTGGAAGCGGCCATCATCAACGCCCTGGTCAGCAGATACCAGAGACTCACGACCTTACAGACGCCCATCCAGTGTTGTCTGTGTCTGTGATGTCACAGATCGATGGCGGCGCCGACATCGGCTTGGCGGTCGACGCTGCCTCAAGGCCGATGAGGGTGGCGATCTGTGGAGGCAATGATGAGGCCGTCAGTGTCCTGTTGGCGCGCGGCGCTGCTGTCCGCCAAGAAGTCGACGACTTCGATAGCTTCGTCATGTCGCTGCCCGATGCCATTGCCGCCCGAATTGGCCGTCGGGTGCCCCTCGACTACGAGCGGCGGCTGTTATCGATCTATCGGCGGCTCATCCAGAACGACGCCACACTCGCAACGGAACAAGGAGGTGACGGCCTCGGCTGCAATCTGGTGCACGACGCGGCCTGCCGCGAGATGGGGCAATATTCCCAGGCCTTCGTTGATGCCTACCTGGACCTGCTGGTGGCCAATGGCGCCAGCCTAACCGCACAAGGCCGCCACGGATGGACGCCCCTGCACCTGGCGGCACGGGTCCCCTCTCCCTGCGTTGCCGACTTCCTGTGCCGCCACGCGCCACCAGCGGAGATCAACAAAGGAATGCCGCTTGACCCCAATAAGACGCCGCTCGTCTTCGCCGGCTCAGGGCTCGATTGGGCGGTTCAGGCCTCCCAAGATGACACCATGCCTCAGCTCACCAGGGACACAGCCACCAGCGAGATTCCCCTCTACGAGGCGGTCATCCGCACACTCCTGAGAAGCGGGGCGGACATCGACCGCATGCCCACAGCCACCGACAAGGAGCGTCAATGCCGTCAGCTGGTGCTGCCCCAGTACACAACAGTGCTCAACGAGCTGCCCACTACGACGATTGCAGCGGTGAATGCCGCCATGCGGCCTCAACGTGGCCTCGCGGCGTTCCTCATGAAGTCCCTGCCCGCCCTCCTGCCCCACCTGCTGCAGCCCCCTCACACTGGCACCACTCCTGCCAATCCGCCCGCCGCCCCCCTCCTCCCCGCCCCCCCTGGCTATGGCCCACACGAGGCAGAGGCCATCGGCTGGAAGATCGCCGCCATGTGCTTCGACCAAGACGCTGCCAGTGAGGCCATCAGCGGCAGCATTGGCATCCGCAACAGCACACTCGCCCGTCGCGTAACGGCAGCAGCGGAGCACTTTGTCAAGTCGGCTGTGTTCGAGGCCAGCAGCAACAGGGAGGTGGTGGGCGGCATGGCCAATATGGGCGGCCAGATGGTGCGGGTGCCGCTGCAGTGCTTCGCTGTCAACGGAGGGCATTATGGTGGCCACAGGCGGCTGGGGCTGCGTGAGGTGGTCCACAGGGCCCAGCTGGACGAGGCGGCCCGACACGGCATAGAGGAGGGGGCCATCGACAAGGGCTTCAACACTCATCTGGGCAATGACGACTGTGAGTTTGGTGGGTGGCAGCAGCTGGGCCGCATCGACGAGGGGGGCCAGTGGGTGTCGCTTGGCATTAACTGACTCACTGGATGGGTGGGTGGGCGGAGCAGAGAGAAACGGATGGGTGGGGCGGGTTACTTGTGAGAGTGGGGTCAGTTGTCAGGCTGTCTCTGTGGCTGTCTGTCTGTCTTGCGGGATGATGCTCGAGAGGAGAATCTCTTGGTTGATGGATGCATGGGTGCATGAAGCGATAATGGTGTTGGCTGGCTGGGGGTGGGGTGGGACAGACTCATATCGCATATCGAGAGAATGAACGAAGACGCTTGAAAACGAACACCCCCGACGTTGACAGCTATCGAGACGTCCCGTCCCTGTCTCTCTGCGTGTGATGTCTGTGCTGTCCGCATGGATGGCTGGTTGTGCTGTCGCTCGGAGAAAAGATAACAGCACGCTCCAGCCCACTATTTCAGCAGCCGTTGGAAGCTTCGGTTGCAACCGCCGGAAGAGATCCCACCAGCAAAGTTTGTCAGCTGTCGAGGCAGGCAGGGCGCGGCTGCAAAAGTCAGTCAGCCCGACGACGAGAGCGGCAGCTGGCAACGAGGCAGGTCGAGGCGCAGACAAAGGGAGAAGGACAGGGCATTTTTCGTTTCGGCGGGAGGTGGCAGCGATGAAGACCGTCGCTGTGATCGCACTCCTCGCCCTGGGGGGGCTCGCACAGGCTGCAGACCACCTCAGCAGGTCACCAATCGCACCAGTGGGTCGCGGTGGTTTTGAGCCTCTCTCCGTGTGTGTGTGTGTGTGTTCAGGTCCGCAGCAGGTGGGCGTGAGCGTCAGTTGCGTGCTCCAGTGGCCACGGTGACGAGCAAGAAGGAGCTGTTTGAGGCGCTTCTGAAGAACCCAAAGGCAGAAATCGACTTCAAGCCCTCGGGCGGTGCAGCCAGCAAACAGGAGGCCCATGGGAGTGTGGCTGATGACGAGCAGAAGCAGCAGCAGCAGCAAAAACAAGACAGCACCGAAGTCAACACCGAGCAGATCAACCCTATCCCCGGCGACATTGAAGACATCAATGAGGTCGTCCAGGATGACGATGTTGTACTGGCCAATGAGGCAGAGGCAGAGCAGCCGCCAGCAGCAGCAGAAGAAGAAGAAAAAGAGCCCGCGCAGGACACCCAGGCCGCGAACGGCCCGCCTGCCCCTCCCCCACTGCTGCCGACCTGCCACTGCACATTGCCTGGGGGTGAGGGCACCTGCACTGGCGAGTGCGGAAGGGACTATGCGTCCGGCGAGGTGGCCTCGCACGAGCTCTTCCTTTACGGCCGGTTCGAGACGCGGATGTACCCCAACATCTACCACAACGGCACGCTGGCCACGTTCTTCCTCTACAAGAATGAGAGCGACAAGATCGCTGGCGAGAACTGGGCGGAGATCGACTTCGAGGTCCACGGGGGCGGGGCGCACCCCTTCGCGCCGATCCAGACAAACCTCATCACGGGCACACCTGAGGAGCGCATGCTGGCTGAGGAGTTCTTCCCTGCACCAGAGATCCCCAAGGCCGTGCAGGGCACTTATGTGAGGGGGCGCTTCCACATCTTCACCATCGAGTGGACGCCTGCCTACATTGCCTGGTGAGTGAGTAGATTGATGGATAGATGGACCAATGCACAAGCGGCCTTTTCCTCACCGTCGTGTGTGTGTGTGTGTGGTTTGTTGAGTCAGGTTCATCGACGGCTTCCAGATCCGACGTGAGACGGCGTGTCCTGCCTGGGGGAAGCCGCCCAACTCCAAGTGCAATCCGCAGGTCAACGCCCTCAATGAGCCGATGAACCTGCGGGCGTCCCACTGGCCGCTTGAGCCGCACCCGGCCGTCTCGCCGTGGGCAGAATACTGGGCAGGCATCTTCGACGACACGAGCAAGGCCGCATTGCCAGCGGGGCCTTACTATGACTGGATACGCACCTACACCTACGACAACGAGACGAGTACGCCTTGACGAAGGGAGGAGAGAAACGAGGGACGGACATCTGTGTGTGTGTGGTGGCGTCTGGTGCAGGCTCGTTTGTGTTCCATTGGCAAGAGGACTTTGACGGCCCGGGTGTGAATCGGAAGCGGTGGGAGGTGGCCAAGCACACCTACTCGCTAAACCACGCCCAGTTCAACGCGTCCAATGTGTTCATCACCGAGCCGGGACACCTGGCTCTCGTCCTCTCCGAGCGAGGCGACACACACAAACCCAAGAAGGCTGTCGAGAAGAAACTGCCCGACGAGATCGGTACCTTCGGCAGGGAGGAGGGACAAGACAACGGTGTGTGTCCTCCCTCATCCATCCATGTGTGTGTCTGTGTGTGTGTCTGTGTGTGTGCAGTGGAGATACCCACCGATGAGGACGATAAGACACGTACACAAGCACCCACACACAGCCATGCACCCACCCATTTGCACCATTCTTCTCTCCGTCTCTTTCTGCGCGTGTGTTGTGTGTGCATCAGGTCCGGGCAAGGGCGGCCCATCCAAGAAGAAGAAAGGCCCCAAGAAGACGAAGCTGCCTGGGAAGCCCGGCAAGACCGGCAAGGGCGCATCTGCCGCTGACATTGCCGCCGAAATGGTGGAGGGATATGCGCAGGCGGCGACCAATGGCGAGACCACACGTCAATAGGGGGTGGGGGTGGGGGCATGTGTCGATATGGATGGCGGATGGGGAGGGACACTCTCTTCTCTGTCTCTGTGTGCGTGTTTTGCTTGGATGGTGTATTGATGGATGCTGCTGCTGCTGCTGCTGCTTGTGACTGCTGGCTGCTGCTATGTCTGTCTGATGCTTTATTGCCTCCTGCCGCCTCTCCCCGACATCTGTGGATGCCCGTGTGCTGTGTGCCACTGAGTGATGTGGTCGATCTGCTGAAGTTTAATTTTCTGAATGTGTGAAGAAAGAAGCGGCTGCAATCGCACGAACGCCCCGCCACCAACACCACATTCCACATCACACAGCACACACGCTTATTGGCCGGTCGATTAGCTTGGAAGTGGGTGCGTGAGTGAGATGAGTGTAGTCTGCCTGAGTGTCTGCCTGAGGGCCTGCCTGAAAGGCTGGCTGATGTGTCCATGGACGGATGGATGGATGGATTGATTGCACCCACCCCTCTCGCCGCACCTTTCTGTCCACCCCCCTTGCCCACCCAAGTGTTTGTGTGTCTCTCTCCTGTTGACACACGTGTCTTCTTCTTCCCCTGGATATGTCCACACGAACATCCACAGATGCACATGCACATGGGGGGTGGCTGTCTCGTCTTAATGGGTGCCTGGTAGCTGTTGACACAGTGAATGAGTGAGTGAGTGATTGTGTGTGCGCGTGTGTGTGGCTTGCTTGCATGATGCTCGCTAACGTTCCATTCATTTGTTCGGTCGCGCGCGGGTTCCGGGAGGTTTTGAACAGCAGGGAGAGGGGCCTAGAGGTGGGGTAATGTCGATAGCGTCTCATCGACTGCGTGTAGTGTACAAATGTACTTGTGCGTGCCATATGTTGGTATTTGTAATCTCACTCACTCAGCGGCAATACCAACCTACCGGTGTGCGCGGCGCTGCAGGCAGCACAAACAACACGTCACACACGCATATAGTGGCCAGCCAGCTGGCATGTACAGATCGAAAGGACAGACAGGAAGGGACGGACGGCTGCTGGGGTGGGGTGGGATTGGCTGGAATCGATGACGCCCTGCCTGCTTTTTGAGAATGTTCTCATCCTCTCTCTCTCTCTCTCTGTGCGTGTCGATAGCAATTACACCAGCCCTTTATGTACTGTAAGCTATGTGGTGTTATGCGTAGAATAAACCAGAGACAGACAGACAGGAAGAGCAGAGCACCAAAGCGCGTGTCGTGCATGCCCCTCCCTCCCCCCCTCCCTCTCTCCCAGGGACTCATGGCGGTCTGCCAGCTAGTCTGGATGGATGGGCGTGTGTGTGCATGGAAGAAGGTCTGCACAGCGATGACAGACAGACACTGGTGCTGCCTGCCTGCCTGCCTGCTTGCCTGCATGATTGCACGTGTATGTGTGTGTATGTGAATGCGCGTGTGTGTGCGTGTGTGTATGTGTCTACCGATGCCACAAGCGAAGAGACCGACAGGCGGCCTTCTCATTTTTTGTAAATACATGGAAGGCCTTAAGGTACCTGGACAAACCAACGAGTCAGTCCGACACACATGCTTTACACCCCCACGCACAGTCCCTCCCTCCCCCCCTCACCCACCGCCCGCACCATCCCCCAATCCAATCGTTAACGGTGAATGCGTTGACCGTCAGCTACTTTCTGACGATACCGTCGGTACAAATAAATCGGCTGTACAAATAAAACAAAAATGCATATATATACATCAAGAACACCACCGACTGTATTCTACATCTTCCCTTGCATATCCTACACCTCCCCTCTCCCTCTCTCATTCCTAGCCTTGCGTGTCCCGCTGCGGTAGGAGAGGCCGCTGCAGCTCCGTCTCCGGCTGTCCGTTGACAGCGACGCGCACTGCGGGTGAGCCATCTGACGCCATCCCGGGGGAGACAAGAGAAGACCCAGTATTGTGGGTGCCTGCCGGTGACCCTCAAGCCGATGTCGTGTCGCTTGCTGGACGAGATCTTCACCACGAAAGCTGCAGCCGCTGAGACCTATGGCAATAGGGAATGCGGGCAATAGGGGGCCGCGAGAGATGACATCCTCAGGACAGGCACTTGCCGCTGCTGGACCTGCGCCCCCGCCGCATAGTGGACCCGATAGGAGAGCTGAGATGCGTTCCACTGGGCGAGGGCGACAAACAGGCGCTCACACAGGACGCATAAAACGACGCCCGATCCTCCTCACCACGGGAAGCGGGCAGCGAGCCAACTTGTGTCCCCATCGGCCACAGGTCTCGACAGCGAGAGGGACAAAGACGGAGCCCGGCACCGCTCGCACCGTCAATCCATACAGTCGCGGATCCGCCGGTGGGACGGTAGAGTCGCCAGGCGGAGCGGATGTCCATCCGCTGATTGTTGGGGTCCCCATCAGGAGGCGTCATGCCGAGCTCGCTGGACGAGATCTCCACCACTGCTGCAGCCGCTCCTTCGACCTCATGAAGAATAAAATCGGTGAGGGGCTGGAAGGAAGACACAAACGATTCAAGCAACACACACAGGAGTAAGCCATTGATGCATGGGGTGACAGCCACCGTTGAACGTACTCTGGGTCCACTCCATCATAGGTGACGAAATCCCACTCGTCGAGCTTGATGCCGGCGGCGTCAAACACCGATTTCATGTAGTACTTGCCGGTCCCGGCCGTGATTCTCACTGGGGTGCCCTTGCTGTGGGACAGACAAGGAGAGACAGCATGTGTGTGTCGTTCCCACACTGGCTGGCCCACGGCGTGCACCTGTTCGCCTTCCTGTTCATCCCCTTCCCTCCCGCTCTCCCTTCTGGCGTACCTGTAGTATTGGCGGAAGTAGGTGGTCTCTTTATCTTCGCCAGTCCAGCTAAGCTCCAGAAATGAATCGGGGTCATTCCTGACAGATTCCCTGAATGAGCGAACAGGACACAAACGCCATTGGCTGACCGACGGACATCTGCTCGCCTGCGTGTCTGCCTGCCTGTCTGTCTGTCTGCGTGTCCTCACGTACCAGGTTCTCCCTCTCAAGTCCCTCGCACCGCTGTTGAAGATCTTCTCCAGCTCAGTCTCGCCCTTGCCCTTGCGCTCAATGGTGCACGTGGCCTCGAGCCATTCGGAGTTGATGAAGAGATGCTTGTTGCCAAGCATCACGCGAACGCCCTCGCCCTGAGTGGCCATCTCAGGATGGATCTCGCTTTGCCGCCGTGAGTGGCTCAAGGACCTGACAGACAGACAAGCAGACACCTCAAAATTCCACGTACGCTCCTCACTCACCGGAAATCGATTCTGAAAGCAGAAATCACCACTGTGGCACCTTCTGACCTTCTGGCTGCTCCTGGCTGCCTGTGTGGCCTTCCTGCGGGCCTCTCTGCTGCTGATCTATCCGTTTGGTGCTGTTGGCCTTTCCCCTCCTCACTTCTAAGCTCGCATTTTACCGATCGCCTCCGAAGGCCTTTTCCCATTGCACGGGGGCCGGGCGGCGGCTAACGTGCTGATCTAAACCCTACTTAATGCGTAGCGCTTGCGAATTTGGTGAATGCGGTTGGTGTGCAGCAGTGCGTGGCAGACAGACAGACACTCTCACACCGTGTGCTCGTGTCAACGAACAGGGAGGGCCTGCGTGTGCAGTGTGTGAATGCGTGTGTGTGTGTGTGTCTATCGAGTGGAGGCAACAAAGAAACAAACAGAGAGACCGATCGACCGGCCGGCGGCCTTTTCAGTTTTCGTACTGACATGGAAGGCCTTAAGGCCTTAAGGTACTTAGACGGACAAACCAAAGAGTCCGTCCGACACACATCACATGCTCTACACCCCCACACACAATCCCTCCCCCCCTCACCCACCGCCCACACCATCATCCCCCAGCACACGGAACACCTTGCGCATCCGAAAACTGACAGGCGGACTGACAATGGTCAGCACGCCCCTCCCGGCGTCCCATTCCCACCACCCCCCTAGCTCTTCTGCACTGTGCTGCCTGTCTGTTGTCCGCTCGCCAAGCGCATCAAACCTGCTGTCTTGTCCCATCAGGTGCACACCAGTGACACGAGCTCCGGCGGCCGTGCTGTTGAGGCCCGCAATCACTACCTCAATGTGCATTGGGGTGGTGGTGGCGTCTTGTGCTGCGTGTCGGTCAGCTGTGGCGGGTGTGATGGTGATCTGGCCGACAGTGCCGTCTCCTCCTGTTGGGCCGTCGAAACGCTGCGACACCACTGCACGCAACCTGCAATGCAATGGACACGCGCCACACGCGCCATACACACACACATGAAAGGTCGGTCGTCTGCTCTTTGTGTGTGGCGAACGTGCGATAGACAGGGCGGTTGGTGTCCGTGTCGTAATGGTCCACAGAGCGCCCATCATCCGCCACCACCATCTCGAATTCCGATCCCTCTCGACTGGCGAACACCCTCAGCGACACACTCCCACCCTCACCCACACCTCCCTGCTGTTGGTCCAGCGTCATGGGAAGAATCGCCCCGCTCCTCACGTAGGCAGGGAGGGTGTACACGCCATCTCCAGCACGGAACAGGGAGACGTTTCGCAGCCACTGGCCGCCGGCAAAGGGCGTGTGTGGGTGGTGGTAGCTGTGCCAGTGCGAGTCGGCTTGAGGGAGGTCAGGGAGGTAGACGTCGGTGTGTGTCTGGCCGTGCCGGGCGGCGAAGGCCACCATGATGTCGGGGCCGACCATCTTTTGGCTGCCAGCCATGAGGCGCACCGTCATGTCAGCTGGGAAGTAATACCTGTGCACCAACACACACGCATGGAGGTCATTCAGTCAACCAACGCATCCAGTTACCAGAGTGGCGCGATGACGGGCAGGCCGTGCTGAAAGGCCCGGTGAGCAAGGGCGTAGAAGTACGGTACCAGCTCATACCTCTGGCGGATGTTGAACCTAACCACACACACACACAAATGCACGAACAGACAGACAGACAGACAGACATGTGTCCATCTCATTGTTACCTGTTGCTGTCGATCCATCCAATCTCTGCAGGCGAAATCCGGTACGTGCAGCCCCTTCTGCTGTGGCCACTGGGACACTTGTTCTGCCGTATGTTGCTCGTGTGCACACGCAGGGGGATGTCAAACCACACACTCGCCGCCAGCCACTTGGAAAACATCTCATCCTCAGACGGCCGGGCGTCTTTAACGGTTGCCGTGTCGTTCGGGAGAAACCATCGCTTGAAGCCGCCTGTGTCAGTGCCGTAATAGTCGATACCCACTGTCACCTGCACACACAGAAAATGGCCGAAAAACGGCGGGTGTGTTTGCCATGCGGTCTACCATCCATCCATCCATCCATTCATCCGTACCATGTTTGCTTGTGCCTGCATGTGCATGGCGAGCGCGTCGAGCCTGCTGGCGATGTCGCCGCTCCACATGGCCGCACCGAACCGGTGGATGCCGAGGGTGCCTGCACGGGAGAGCATGAAGGGCCGCTGGACGGTTCTGGTCCTGTTGTCACGGTGGTCGCGCACATAGCCTTCATAGATACTCTGCAGCCATAGGAAGTTGTACCTATGTGATGCACACACACAAAGACAGAGACACAATAGAGAGAGAGAGAGGGATGGATGGTTGTCGGAGTGCTTACAGGTTGTGAACGTCTGCGTGTCGCTTTCCCCCGTGGTAGCAGGCGATTCTGTCGTAGTTGGAGGGCTCGCCGAGGTCCGTCCAGTGGCCAAGAACGCCGTTTCTGATGATGTTGGGGAATCGCCTGTTGTCATGCACCCACCTCGCCGCTTTCTCGTTTGTCCAATCTATCATCGAGCCCTCACCCCACCACCTTACACACACACACACACACACAGAGAGACAGGAACGTCCAAACACTTATGGATTTCCCCCATGCATATCCATGATTGCTCACTCGCTCAGTGAGATCGGCGTGTGTCGGTCGCTGCAGTTGACAGCAAGGTACCCCTGTTCCCTCATCTGCCGGTAGGTGAGGGTGCCCGCAGACACGTAAGACTCCTCAATCGCAATGACACCCAAATCGTCTCGGCGATATGCCTCGATGTGTTCTCGAGGCTCCGGGAATCGCTGTGTGTCCCAGTCGAGTGCGCCGATGGACGATTGGGGGCTCCCCGAGCGGATGCCCCCGAACCAAGAAAGATCTGATTGATACACGTGGACAGACACATATGCGGACGGCCTCGTGTGTGCCGGTCGTGTGGGCTGCCGGCCTACCGAGAACGATGCCGTCGATGGGCATGTGAGCGTCGCGGACGCTCTTGACCACCGCATCGGCCTCTTCCCACGACTCAAATCCATACTCACTCATCCACTGACACACGACACAACACACACACACATGTGCATACTTGAGATCCCTCGTCTATCTCATGTTCACTCACCAGTCCAAATGCCTTCCTGGGCGGGACGGGCGGTGTGCCGACCAGCCGCATGAAGCGCGACCGCACATCCAGGGGTTGCTCAGCCACTATGACGAACAAACGATGCGGCACGTGCACTGGCGTGTTGGGGGTGGCGATTGTCCACCAATCTGGCGATGAGAAATCCCATGATCTGATTGATCAACACACGAGTTGGACCGTGTGCCGGCGCGTTGTGCATGTGCTTACTGTTTGTAAGTGTTGTCGAGTAGAAGGCCGAGGAAAGACTTGTGCCCGGGTTTGGGCAGAGCCAAGAGGAATGGGAATTGCAGCATTCCCCCTTTGCCTACACACCTCAACCACCACACAACATAACACAGCCTCAATGCACCCACAGCACACTCTTCCCTCCCCTCAATCATCCCCTCACTCACCAGTCGTCTCTCGCGTGGTATCTCCGTCTGTGCCAGGGTTGTTCCTCATCTCATTGCCAAACTCATCGGCAGACCCGAATCGGCCCCATTTGACCCAGTCGCCGTCAGCCTTCCCTGCTCGCATAAGCTGCTGCCCCACACCATACGCGTGGCTGAAGGCGCCGGCATCCACCCTGACACCTGTGAGCCCGCCCTTCTCCGTCGCTGCTGCTGCCCAGCCGTCTGCACATAGCTCGGTGACCCTCTTGCCAAATCGATGGACCTCCAGACATCCACCGCTCTCCCGCACTCTGATGCCCCCTCCCTGTATGGACCTGTCCGTGCTGCTGACGGCGCAGTCGTTCTTGTGAATGAGTGAGGCAGTGAAGTTGCGCTCGAATAGCATCGGGCTGGCTTCGATTGGCGCCTCGACCGACGGCCCAGAGCTGCCCTTGCCGAACTCGATGTGCGTCGTGTTGGGATCGATGATGGACACCAGTACATAGCCTTGCACGTGCTGAAATCGGAAGCGAAGCTTGATGCGACAGAGGCCGCCAGCGGCAGCCTCCATTCCTCTGAAGTGAAGGGCATCTTGCGCGAGCAGATCTGCAACACAAGAACACATAAAAGCAGTGGGTACCATGGCGGTGCGTTGTTTGTTTGTCCCTGTTTGTGCGAGTACCTTACCTGGTCTGTCTGGCTCCTTATGATCTCCTGTGTCGATGGGGCGGATGATGTAGCTTCTGAGTCCGCCGTGAGTGGAGATCCACAACAGGAGGATACACGGACAGCTCACCAGCAGCACCGTGCACAGCAAGCGGAGCCGTCGCATACAAGTGCTTTCACTGATCTCTTACAAGCTCGCACTTTTTCCCCGGGAAGCCCCCAAGAGGGGGTAGTGTGCGAAAAAGGCCGGTGAGGACCTTTCCTGCAGTTAGCTGAATAGAGGATCTGCTGGGCGGTAAGTCCCAGAGTAAGAGTGCTTTTACTTTAATAAGACCGATGGACTGGCCAGTCAGTCAAAGTTGTTTCTGTCCATGTATGGCATCATGAAGGGTGGTCAACACAGATCTCACTTCGGTGATGGCTGATAAGATCGTGTCTCCTCAGAATGCTTTCCTTGTCTTTCCTTCTCTTCTCCTCTCT